AAAAACATTCAAAAAATAATCAACACTCGATCTGTCAAGCTGTATAAAATTTAATAATTGTTAGTTGGACCATAATCAAGACATTTTCCCTGGTAAGAACAACGATCATCGATAAAAATATCACATTATTAATGTAGCATTCATACCATTGTCATAAATTCCACACAGGTGACTAATAATATTTTTACTATTGTTTATATGTTTATAAATCTAGCTCTCAGAAATATGTACAAAAAACCATCTAGTCCTTTATATGCCAATGTTTCTGGAGTAAAGTACAAGAGTGAAGAGTTGACTCCCCAGAATGAACCCACTTACTACAATACAGTAACAAAAATAATGCCACAACCTTCTCAGGGCATTTATAGCAATGTGAACTACCATGAAAAGTCCAACAACATATATTCTAACATTGCTGAAACGAGCAAACCAGCTTATAAAAATACTCAATATCCATTATATGACAATCTAAAACCATTAGGTTTGTTCACACTTATTTATACATTATTTTAATTTAATTTTGATTATTTATTATATTTATTTAAAGTAGCTAAAGATAACATACATTGCCCTCCATCTCCAGTGAGTTCAAGTTACTCTGAACTTCAAAAAGCAGTTAGTTACGAAGATGATGCTAAAGATTTTGATAATTCTTCTTCTCAAGTAAGTAGACAACAGGGCAGGTGTCCCTGCATTAATTATTTTTTTTTATTTAAGTTGTAATATTTCACTTCTCTTAGGCATCAAAAATGTATGAATCAATCTATGAGCCTATTAATGCTGTCCGTCCACCTAGTGAATTATCATCAACATATTCAATGAGCAGTCTTTCACAATCCATTACTACTCGTGAACATGAAACCGAAGTTGATTCTTTAACTGATCTCCTTGTAAATTCAATGTCTGTCAATGATGGTAAAAAAAGTTCGGACAGTAATGCAAGCTCTTTAGATTGTAAGTATCTTTAATAGTTTTATAATTTATAATAATTAATATTATTATTTACATTCAAGAGTTAATAATGTCAATTATTATTAAAAATAACCATTTTATTATTTATATTAAGGGAATTGTACTAAATGCAATGAAAAAGTAATGGAAGARGGTCTTGGCTGCACAGCCATGGGTAATATTTATCATATAAAATGTTTTACCTGTACCCATTGTGGAGATCAATTAGAAGGAAAACCATTTTATCACATTGATAACAAACCATATTGTGAAGAGGGTTATTTGGTAAGTGTTAATAATTAATTATTTAATAATAAGCTGTACAGTCAAAATTATTATTWTTTTTTTWATATAATGTATAATGCTATATAATGTAATATCTTATAATATTTTATATTAATTTAATATTGAAGGATAACCTCTGAAATATAAATTATTTTCAACAAATCGTTGTAAGATTCATTTTTAATTTG